TAGTTAGTTGCAGAAGTGTTGTTTCATTCCTTTTATCAAGCTTTGTAGCAGTTGAAGACAATAACTGATTTTCTAGACCATTTCAGAGGGCAGTTAAGAGTCAAACACATTGCTGCTATTCTGGAGTCTCTTATAATCCAGACCTTGTGAAGTATGTGGGCTTTTACGACAATCAGCATTGATTTCACAGTTACCATTAGACTAGCAGTTTAATTTCAGAGTTACTAATTGAATTCAAATTTCACTATCTGCCCTGGTGGGATTTGAATCCAGATCCCCAAAACATTAGCCTAGTTCTCTGGAATCCTAATCCAGTGACAAGCCACCCATACCGGCCATTGTGCAGTACATTATACTGGCCAATATTGATTGCTTAATTAGCATTAATTTTTTTTAAAATAGTGACCTGTTTGTGGGATCGACTTGCTCACAAACAGAAAATATAGCAGGCTAACAATAATGTCACTTTAAAAGTAGCTAATTGGCTGTGGAGTACTTTGGGACAACCTAAAGTGTTATTGACATACATTTCTTTTATGGATGTCCAGAGCAGGGATCAGCTAAAAATTTTTGAAGTGGGATTCCCAAAAATGTGAAATGGAGGGAGCTTGATTTGAGACTGATTGATTGATTGATTGATTTTTGTTCTATTAGACACTAAGCTCACTCACCAAGATCTGACGATGTAACTCAATATGCTCCTTTACCTTTAAAGGGCGTCACTATGGTGCTGTCAGCTGCGAGGGTTGTAAAGGGTTCTTCAAACGAAGCGTAAGGAAAAATCTGACATATAGCTGCCGTAGCGGTCAAGATTGTATCATCAACAAGCATCATCGTAACCGCTGTCAGTTCTGCAGGCTTCGGAAATGTTTGGAGATGGGAATGAAAATGGAATGTAAGTGTTACATTGTTCCTGGTGTGTCAGGGTAGAGTTGGACCATACCTGGAGAACCAGGGACTGGAGCCAAAGTGTCGGAGGAGTTTCATATTGTAGCTGGGGTGCCAGGGAGAGTTACATGGTACCTGAATTGTCAGGTGAGTGTTACACCAAAACAGATGCAGATTTTTAATTTAATACCTCAGCCAAGATCCTCAAATTCCCCTTTGATTGTTCATCAATTCTCCTCCCTTTACCATCCTTTTACCTTCAAATGCCTTTAGAATACTTTGGGATTCTCCTTTATGTTAGCTGCTAGTTTCTTTTTATACTCTCTTATTGCTTCTCTTCAATTTTTTACTTGGCCTCCTGCCTTCTATATTCAGCCTGATTTGCAGTTGTATTATCTGCCTAACAGTTGCCAAAAGCATGCCTTTACCATCTTAATCTCGATTTTGTTTTTATTCAAGAATCTCTGGATTTGTTTCATGCCTTCCCCTTTTAAGGGAATATACCCTGATGAAACCATCTCTCCTTTAAAAGTTCAATTGCAGTTTTGTCTGCCATCCTTTGATTCCAACTTATCTGGGTCAGGTCCACTCTTCCCACACTGAAGTTTACTTTCCCTAGCTAATTACTGTTACTCTGGATTGTTCTTTGCCTTTTTCCATAGTCAGCCTAAACTTTATGATGTAATAATCACTGCCCCTAAATGTTCCCTTATTGTCACTTGATCCACTTGGCCCACCTAATTCCCAAGAATGAGATTTAGCATTTCTATTCAACCTGTGCAGAACTACCTGTTCAGATTAGTAGAGGAGCCTGAGGGATTGGAACAAGGAAAATGTTCCAATTGTGATGATCACTGTCTTTTATAAAGAAGCACAGATGCTGATCAGGACTGACCATTCTACCAAGAACCAACCAGCTGTATAAGGTGTATGTATGCGAAGCCTTATCAAGCCATGAAAGAGATTGGCGAATATACTGAGAGCACACACCTCGCAAGCAGAATTCGCTTACCTATTGTGCTAATTGCATTGTCACTTTTCTTCTAATGCTAGCTGTTCAATGTGAGAGAAAACCAGTTGAGGCACAACGAGAGAAACCAGCAAACTGTGCAGCTTCCACAGAAAAAATCTACATCAGGAAAGATCTGAGGAGCCCACTCACAGCCATGCCAACGTTCATCACAGGCAAAGAAAGTGTAAGGTATAATTAACAACAACGTCTACCTGGGAGATTCAAATAAAGAGACTTTCACTCCTGTTAGTGATGCCTTGGATCTTCCACACGCACCATTGGCATGACTTTCTGGATTGTTGCAGCAATTGGCTCAGTGCTGCTAGAGGACACTGAGGACTTTCCCTTGACTCTGTTTGATAAATGATGCCATTTGATTGTGGTCTCAGTTTACAACCCTTCCTAAATTTGAGCTCCTGGCTCTTAACACTATAGTGATTCCTACTTCATAGACATGGGGTTTGAACAGACTGAACCTTAAGTGTGAAACAGCTAACAATAAAATACCATGCCAGAAAATGTCAAAATGTTAGGGAGGCTAACAGCACTGGGAACTCAATATTCAAGAAGAATTAACATTCTAGAATAGACAAAAAGAGAAAGGGAGTAGGGTAGCTTTGTTAATAAAGGATGATATCAGTACGGTGATGAATAGTGACATAGATTCAATAGATCCTAATGAGGAATAAGTTTGGCTGGAAATAAGGGATTGCAAGGGAAAGAAGAAGGGAAGATCACTATGTTCCACATGAGAGATTTGGGAGAAGGCACATCCACAGTGAGGTATAGCCCAAATGTGTGTGTGATGCTGGAAATTTTGAGCACTCTGGGAATTCAGTGCATAGGGGAAGCTGTGCTTTCTGGGTTTTTTTTGTTCATAGTTTGCAAAGTCCTTTCCAGTGCTTATAGTTTGAAAGACTATATCCTTCAGCTTCAACTGAGCAGAGAGAAGGGAGTCCTGGTTTAACATCTGTTTCAGATGACTGCTGATTGGGAAAGCGGTTGAAACAGGGTGTGTTGTTGTTTTGTGATTTTTTTGGAAGAAGGAATTAACTGAGAAACCACAGGACTAAGTGAAAGTTAGGGCCAGTATAACGAAGCAATGTAAGTAAGTAAAGCAGGGTGAGGAAATATCATAGAATCTCTATGTGGAAACAGGCCCTTTGGCCTAACAAGTCCACACTGACCCTCAGAGCATCCCAACCAGACGCATCCCCACCAGACGCATCCCCCTATAACCCACCAAATCTACACATTCCTGAACCCTACGGGCAATTTAGCATGGCCAATCCACTTAACATGCACATCTTTGGACTGTCGGAGGAAACTGGAGCACCCGGAGGGAACCCACACAGACACGAGGAGAATGTGCAAACTCCACACAGACAGTTGCCTGAGGGTGGAATGGAACCCAGGTCCCTGGTGCTGTGAGGCAGCAGTGCTAACCACTGAACCACTGTGCCTTATCCTGTGGTTAGGCTAAGAGAATTAAGTTAAGAGTATTCTTGCACAAACAGATTTTTTTAAGAAAAGAGAGTTACTCAGGGGCTTAAAAGATGTCATGGCTGCAGATCCTGCACCTGTAACATGCTCGACCTGTGCTATGTGACGAATCATGGGAAGTGTATCCAGCTGCAGCTACTGGCGAATCACATTTTGGAGTTGGAGGTGCAGGGTGAATTCACTGGGGAGCACCCACGATGCTGAGCAAGTTGTGGAAAGCATATTCAGTGAGGTGCTCACGCAGCAGATGCAGATTGAACAGGCAGAAAGGGAATGGCTGACCCCCAGACAGAGTAGAGGAAGGCATGTAGTGCCCACTGTGGCCATCCCCCTTTTTAACAGTTATACCATTCTGTCCTCAGCGTGCTGCAGTGTTTCAGTGAATCACAGCACAAACTGAAGGAACAACATCCCATCTTCAGACTAGACACTTTACAGCTTCTGGACTTAATATTGAGTTCAACATCTTCCAATTGTAAACCAACTCTCATTTCTTCCCGTTCGTTTAGCTTGGTACATTCTGTTATCATGTCGCCTCTCCCCTTTCCCCCTCCCAGTGGGACTGTCTGTCCTTTCAGGTCTGGCAGGAGACACACCATTGTTGTCCCATTCTGACATTCCAATCACTTAATCTGAACTATCAACATCTTTTCTCCACCAGCACTCTACACTCACCACTCCCACGCTCCCCAGCCCCCACACTTTAAAATCCCCACACTTTAAAATCCCCACACTTTAAAATCCCCACACTTTAAAATCCCCACCACACTTTACTTCAGCTCTGATGAAGAGTCATCTAGACTGAAAATGTTAGCTTGCTCTCTCTCTCTCCATGGATGGTGTTTGACTGGCTGTGATCTCCAGCATTTGTTGTTTTTGGTACCACTTTGGATATTGTTGGAGGAGATGATTGTGCAGAGGAGAGCAGTTGGAGCAAACTTCATGCCCCACAGGTGGATGTGCTGCATACGAGAGGAGGAAGAAGAAGGACAAGGCTATAGAGGTAAGGGATTCAATTGTAAGGGGAACAGACAGGCATTTCTATGACCGCAAAACAGACTCCAGGATGGTATGTTGCCTTCCTGGTACTAGGGTCAGGGATGTCACTGACTTCGGTGTATTCTGAAGGGTGAGGGCAAACAGACAGAGATTATAGTACATATTGGTGCCAACGAGATAGGTAGAAAAGGGATGAGGTCCTAAAAGCAGAATTTAGGGAGCTAGGAAGTAGATTAAAGAACAGGATTCAAAAGGAAGTAATCTCTAGATTATTTCTGGTGCCCCATGCAAGTGAGTATAGGAGTAGAAGGTTAGTCCAGATAAATGTGTGGCTCAAGAGATGACACAGGAGGGAGGCCTTTAGATTCCTGGCACATTGAGACAGTGTTTGAGGGTGGAGGGACCTGTACAAGGTAGATGGGTTGTACCTAAACAGGAGCGGAGCCAGCATCCTTGCAGGGAGGTTTGCTAGTGCTGTTGGGGAGATTTAAACTAACTCGGCAGGAGGCTAGGATCTTGAGAGAATGTTCAACAGGGGAATGAACAGCCAGAAGTCAGTGAGCCAGGAAGGCGTAGACATTATAGGCCAGTTAAGGCACAAGGGAGTTTGACAAGGATGGATGGTATTTATTTTAATGCTAGGAGTCTGATGAACAAGGGACAGATGAGTTGAGGGCACAGATGAAAACATGGGGGTGTGATGTCATTGCTGTCACTGAGACATGGTTGAGAGGGGCAGGTTTGACAGTTCAATATTCCAGGTTACAGGGTCTTCAGGTGAGACCGGGGAAGGAGGTAAAAAGGGAGGAAGCGTCGCAGTTTTGATCAGGGAATCTCTTACAGCAGTAAGGAGGACAGCTTCGAAGGCACCTCAAATTAAGCTACATGAGTAGAACTTAAAAACCAAAAGTGAGCAGTCACATTGTTGGGAGTATACAAAGGGCCCTCTGACAGCCTGAAAGAAATAGAGGGGCAGATATGTAGGGAAATTTCAGGGAAGTGTAAAAGTGATAGTGTAGTGATAGTGGGGGATTTCAACTTCCCTTACGTTAACTAGGGTAGCCATTGTGGGAGCTGAATTCTTAAAATACACCTAGGGTGGCTTTTTAAGCCAGTATATATTGGGCCCTACAAAATAGGAGGCAGTCCTGGACTTAAATTTAGTAATGAAGCCGGGCAAGTCTTTGAAGTATAAGTGGGGGAGTACCAGTGGGATCATCACTTTGTTAGATTCAAGATTTTTTTGGCAAAGGACAAGGATGGACCTGAAATCAAAGTTCTCAACGGGGGGAAGGCTGATTTTAATAAGTTCAGATTTGATATAGTCAGAGTAGATTGGGAGCGGATATATTCAGGTAAATCTGTATGAGAGTAGTGGGACGCATTAAAGAAGGAAATATGGAGATTACAGGGCCAGCATCAAGGGATATACAGGATTGGATTAAGAGATAAAGGGAGGCTTATTGAAGATCCCCAGGGGTCAAAACAGCAGAAGCCCTAGAAGATCATTGAATGTGCAAGAGGGAATGTGAAAAGGAGATTAGGAGAGCTAAAAGGGGATATGAAAGGATACCGGTAGGTAAGATAAAGGAAATCCCAAGTTGTTTTGCAAGTGCATTAAGGGTAAAAGGATAAAAAGGGAAAGAGTACAGCCCATTAAGGACTGCAGTGATAATTTGTGCATGGAGCTAGAGGATGTAGGTAGCATTCTAAATGAATTCTTTTGACTGTGTTCAATGGTGAGAGGGACAATAGGGGTATAGAAATCAGGAAGAAGGTCGATGATACAATTCGAGAAATTAGACTAGATGGAAAGGGGGCTCTGACTGGTCTTGGCAAGCTTGAAAGTGGATAATTCTCCAGGGCTGGATGAAACGTATCCCAGGTTATTGAGTCAGGTAGGCCAGGAAATTACAGGAGTGTTTGCAAAAAAAAATGTTCAATTCCAGTCTGAACATAGGAGAAATGCCAGAGAACTGGAGGACAGCCAGTGTGATACCGTTATTTAAGAAGGGAGCAAGAGATAAACCAGGAAACTACAGGCCAGTCAGTCTAAACTTGGTAGTGAGGAAGTTTTTGGAAGCAATCCTAAGGGACGGAATTAATCTGTATTTGGAGAGACCGGGATTAATCAGCAACAGTCAGCGTGGTTGTATTAAGGGAACATCATGTCTGACCAACTTGATTTGAATATTTCAAAGAAGTGACCAGGTATATAGATGATGGCAAGGCTTTTGAAGGGTCCCTGCATGGAAGTCTGATAGCAAAGCTAAGAGCTCATGGGATCCAAGGAATTTTGGCTGAGTGGCAGGAAGCCGAGGGTAATGGTCAAGAGATAGTTTTGTGACTGGAAGACTGTGTTCAGTAGAATCCCACAGGGGTTAGTGTTGGGGCCCTTGCTGTTTTTGTTTTTCATAAATGATTTAGATTTAACTGTAGGAGGATTGATCAGTAAATTCAGATTATAAAAAATGTGATGCAGTGATAAGTAGTGAGAGTGATAGCCTAAGATTACAGGAGGATATAGATGGGCTGGTCAGTGGCAATTGGATCTCAATCCAGATAAATGTGAAGTGATGCACTTGGGCAGGACAAACAAGGCAAGAGAATACACCATGAACGGTAGAAGGAAAGGCCCTTTGGCCCATTGAGTCTGTACCAACATAACTACCACTGAAAGTGCTCTAATCCTAATTTCCTGCACTTGCCCAAATCCTTGAATGTTATGATATCTGAAATACTCATCTAAATATCGTTTGAAGGTTGTAAGTTTTCCAGCCTCCACTACCTTCCCAGGTGGATAAGAAGGCATATTGATATACTTGAGTTTATTAACCAAAGCATTGAGCTTAATAGCAGGGAAGTAATGCTGAAACTGTATAAAATGTTGTTTAGGCCCCAACTGGAGTTTCATGTGCAGTTCTGGAATCCACATTACAAGGTGCAGAGGAGATTTACTAGGGTGTTGCCTGGGCTGGAGAGCTCCAGGTAGGAGGAGAGATTGAGCACACTGGGGCTGTTTTCCTTACAGCAGAGGAAACGGAGAGGGGACATGATTCAAATGTACATCTCCAAGCAGCCACTCTCTTCACCACAGATGCTCAGTAGCAGCAGTGTATACTATCTACCAGATGCACTGCAGAAATTCACCAAAGATCCTTAGACAACACCTTCCAAACCCATGACCACTTCTATCTAGAAGGACAGGGGCAGCAATACATGGGAACACAACCACCTGCAAATTTTCTTCCAAGCTACTCACCATCCTGACTTGGAAATATATCTCTGTTCCTTCATTGTCGCTGTGTCAAAATCCTGGAATTCCCTCCCTAAGGGCATTGTGGGTCAACTTACAGCATGTAGACCGCAGTGGCTCAAGAAGGCAGTTCACCACCACTTTCTCAAGGGCAACTAAGGATGAACAATAAAAATGCCTGCCAGCCAGCAATGTCCATGTCCCACAAGTGATAAAAAATTGAAGGCCATGGATCAGGTAGACAGGAAACATTTCCACTTGATGGAGGGATCATTGACTGGGTGGGGGGGTGGGGAGGGGTGCGGTGGTGTGTGAGTAATTGTGTTATAGAACAGACCGAAACCCCTCAAAATATTTTAAGAAGGTAACCTAGACGCTAACCTTTCTTATTTTAAAGGCAAATGTAAGGTGTCTGTTGCAGATGTAATGTGGCTGGTCAAACTACTTGACGTTAAGCAAACCACAGCTTATTTAAACAATGTAGTTAAAATACAACCAAAGAAAGAGAAATTTAGAATAACAACTCTTTTGCAAACTTTACAGAATAATAGATACAGTAACTGTAACTAGTTAACTGTTCCAATATAGTAACATCCTATAAACACACCCCTTGCCAAAAGAAAGATTCAGACACAGATTCTCCCATCCAGCCCTCTATCCAGGAGGGGAAAAAAAATCAAGAGAAAACTCAGAGAGAGTAGCAGCCAGGAGACATTCACTGAAGCTTCCAACTCAGTTGAGACCCCAACAGCTTCTGATGCTACTCAGAAACCCTGACCTGAGAGATCTGGCCACACCCATTCAGGCTACATTTTAAACAACCCATGGCCTTCAATGCTGTTTACTCGAGTGGGTTTTGGTAGCCAGCTCAGCACCTCTGCCTTACAACCTCTTTTCAGAAAAAAAGGTCAAAATAACCTGTTAAAGTGACAGCATTGTCACTATAGATTTAAGGTAAGTGTCAGATGATTTAGAGGAGATGTAATGAAAAACCTTTTCACCCAGACGATGGTGGGAATCTGGAATGCACTGCCTGTAACAAGGGTGGTCGAGGTAGAAACCCTCATAGCATGTAAGAAGTACATGCACTTACAAAGCCAATGCATACAAGGCTATGGGCTGGAAAATGGGACTAAAACAGCTGTTTTTGACCAGTTTGGACATGATGGGCTGAAGAGGCTTTTTTGTGCTCTATATCAAATAAAACAAATTATGTAGTATAGTGAAAGTATGAAGCCCTAGTACCGATCCCTGGGAATCGTAATCTGCTAATGTGTGTAATTCCTATTTTCTCTGCTCATTGTATCCTACTTTATAACCTGTTATCCACCCCAAACAAAGACTTCCTCCAGCCCCATCTTGCAAATAATTTGCTATGTGGATCTCACTGGAAATTTTATGGAATTTCTTGTCAACAACATCCATATGTATGCTCACATCCATCATATCAGGAATCTTATGAAAATATCCTCATTAGCCTTCTGTGACCGGATTATACTTTTCAACTGTGATGTTATGTGAGATTTGGAGACAGAATTTATATTAGGTTATAAATGTGAGGCAATCTTATTTTCTGTTTTCTTGCAGCCCGACAACTCTGTTTGAATCAGGAACTTTGGTGAATATTCAGCAACCGTTAATACAGACAGACACTGCTGGTGTTCTAATGGCTGTGGACTCAAAGGTGCGAAGATCTTTCTGTCTGGTAAATATATTGAGGTTCCGGTTAGAAGAGTCACTCTGTCACATGTGATTTCTGTATCTGGTACCCTGTCAATGAACCAGCACACCGTATTTCCACAGTATCACTGACTTTCACTTATAAATTAATGTTATCCCAAGCGTTTGAGTATCTGAAAATCATTGGGCACTCGTTGGAGTTGGAACAGTTTCAGTTTGTTCTTTTTTAGGATTAATCTTTTTCAACGTCAACTTTTAATCGACTGGTAAAACTGACGGGCTGTCTGTCAGATGCCCTTTGAGAGCTATCAAAGCACACACAACTAGTCTATATTTAACCCATTTATTGTAATTTGGCACAGCTAGAAAAGCAGGAAAGGATTCCCTACTTGAGGAATGTGTCAGTGGAAGAAGAGTATTGTTCGCAGGCTTGGAAAGCCAAATGGATGAGATTGAGACGGGAAGAATAAATTGTACAGAGTTCAGATCTCAGACCGTGCAACCATTGGACATTTCAACGTTACCTATCTTAAAAGTTCTGTCATTGAGCAAACCTGCTGTGTAAGGGATTTTATTCATCACATAACAACCTGAAAGATCTGGAATTGGTTTGAGATCAGCATGTGAACCAATATGCTAAGGACAATAAAACATTCTAATGTTTGTTCTTACTTATTGCTGGAGTGGCAACTTTTTTTCTTACATAGGATATGGGCATCACTGGCAAGGCCAGTATTTATTGCCCATTTCTAGTTGTCTGGTCTGGATTCACATGTAGACCAGACTATGTAAGGACAGGTCTTCCTCCTTAGAGGACATTAGTGAACCTGATGGCTTTTTATAAACATCAGCACTGCTTACATGTTTATATTAGACATCTATTTAAAATTCCAGATTTACTTTTTTTGAATTCAGATTTCACCATCTGCCATTGTGGGAGTCAAAGCCATATCCTCAGAACTCAAGGCTAGGGCTCTGGATTGCTAATCAAATGACATTACCACTATGCCGTTGCCACTCGCTGAAATCTATGTGTTTGAACTCTGTTGTGATCATTAGCAATTGATCTGGTGACTGAATGCTTGTTTTGTAGATTAATCACATCAATTAAATGCTAGCTTTGGAGTCAGGCTCTGGATCCTGCTGGTACAGGCTGTACTGAAGATGAGAATGCTCAGAATCATTAGTTCAAGCAAAGCAACCCAGTGATGTAGCGAAGTATAGCATTTCATCATTTTGTACTATTATACAAAAGCAAGTTGCATTATTTATATCAATGAATCTACTATGAAACAGAACAGCTTAACAATTGGTATTGCACTTTGTCTCATCAGGTGATTTCATAGATCATAGAATCCCTACAGCGTGGAAACAGGCCCTTCGGTCCAATAAGTCCACACCGAACCTCAAAGCATCTCACCCAGACCCACCCCATTATAACCTACCTAATCCACACACTCCTGAACACTACGGGCAATTTAGCACAGCCAATCCACCCAATATGCACATCTTTGGACTGTGGGAGGAAACCGGAGCACCCGGAGGAAACCCACGCAGACACAATGAGAATGTGCAAACTCCACACAGACAGTCGCCCGAGGGTGGAATTGAACCCGGGTCCCTGGCGCTGTGAGGCAGCAGTGCTGACCACTGAGCCACCGTGCTGATTTATTTTCTTGTTAGTGGAAATGTAAGAATTAGCAATGCAACTCTGCTTTAGATTGCAAGGGCCAGTGTTATTAGATTGCAGGCCATTGCCATTATAGATTTGGGCACTTGGGAGACAGATCACAGTTAATCTAAGATACTCAGATTTCAGGATCAGAGTGTGCTGCTTACATGCCCACGTGTCTGTCCCGGGCATGCTGCAATGCTCCAGCAAACCACAGCGAAAACTGGAGGAGCAACATTGCATCTTGAGACGGGGCACTTTACAACCTTCTAGACTTAATGTTGAGTTCAACACCTTCAAACTGTGAACCCATTCCTTCCCTTTATTTTAGCTTTACTTGTTCCATTCTCTACCACCATATCCTCTCTTTCCTCCCTCCACTCCAGTGGGACTGTCTTCTTTCAGGTCTGGCAGTTAGACACACCATTGTTCTGCCATTCTCACATTCCAATCACTTAATCGGAACTATCAACATCCTTTCTCCCCCAGCACTCCAACCCTACCCCCTCCCACACTATTGCATAAATGCCGCCCTCCACACTTCACTTCGGCTCTGATGAACTGTCATCTAGACATGAAATGTTAGCTTGCTCTCTCTCCATGGTTGCTGCCTGACCTGCTGTGATCTCCAGCATTTTTCATTTTCATTTCAGGATTGACTATTTGTTATCTTCTACAGCAAGCTTATAATGTTCCTTTGTTTTACGGTGATGGTCTGGATTGGATTGTTATTAAAATCTGCTCAGATCGTCTAATGTATACAAGGATTTGACTTGAGGTAGGTTGGTATTATAGGTACCTTTCCACAGTCTGTAGATGAGTAGTGTGATCAGTTCCTCTGTGTCTCCTTGTTTTAGGCTGAAGCAAGCCAAGGTGATTTGGGTACACTGGCTAATGTCGTCACCTCACTAACAAACATCAGCAAGGGCAAAGAGGATTCACAAAGCCTGGGTGACCTGACAGCAATCGAAGCACTTCATAATGGAGACATCAATATAACGGAACTGCAGCAAGAGGACCAGTCTACCAATGAGATTACACGGTACACAACCACCAGTCAATGTGCCAGCCACCTGTAACCTCATGGCTCCCTCTCTGGGTTCTCTGAATAAAGAGAGGGCAAAGCGATGACTTATCACTATTTCTTCTATAACTGATGTTGTGAGTCACAATCAGTCAAAATGGCAGTCTGTGTTTTGGTTCTGGCAATCGGGAATTATTTTTGGAGTTTATTAGTGTTTGCTTCAGTAAAAGCTGTAATAGTTGTTGAGCATCAGTGTCAAAATGAAAATGAGAACCTGTTGTATGGTGGCCAGTTTACCATGCAGCTTTAGTCTCGCGATGGAGTGCCTGCTGTCACAGTTATTTATGGTGTCCCAGGGAGCATGATTGCTGCTGGAATGTGTACACGTGTATCACAGGTGGCAGCAAGATGTTTGGCTGCAATACTTCCTATATTCAGATATCTTGTCAGCACTGACTTTTTAGGTTTGCATTGAAGAGTGGATATTTTAGTAAGTTCACAGAGGCACTGTCTCCAGAAAGAAGAGTGGTGAAGATAGTGATGTTCCTGAGTCAGTGATCGTTATTATTTGTATGCAAAGATAGCTGTAACAAAGAATATACTAACCTGAATCTTGTTGTGGTATCAGTGAAGTTGTCCACATCAGTGTTATCATGAGGTAAGTCTGACAGCAACTTCTGCTGGCTGCTCCAGGTCTGTGGTGACCTATGGAAATCCTGAAGTTGATGTAAGTCATAGGGAGAGAGCAAGCTGAAGATTCAAGTCTAGAAACGTTAGCTTGCTCTTTCTCCTTGGATGCTGCCTGACCCAATGTGACCTCCGGCATTTCTTGTTTTCAGCACAGATTCCAGCATCTGCAGTAATTTGCTCCTACTTGATGTAAGTCATACCCTGCTCTTTTGTAGGCACCTTGTTACAGGCCTCATTATAGAGTTAGCATTGAAGTTTGTCTAGTGATGTGAATTTGGGTATTTGCCTGCTAATCTCACACTATAAAGTAGCTGAAAAATGTTGAGCTGGTGCTTTCTGCAATGTGTTTAATCATTATTGATGAACAATCCTTCTGGCCCTTAATTCATTTTTCAAATATGGAGTATCATACCCTCACAGAAAGATTGTTGTTGCACCATTGATAAAATAAAGTATTATTTCCTTTTCCCAATTTTGTGATTTACCATTCTCTCTTGATTTCACCTACATGAAGTAAAGGGAATTTACTTTTTCTGTTTTCGTTTACTTCCTGGTTCGCAGTCTTCATGTTTGGCAGTGAGGATATTTCAATTTGGTTGTCTGAAGAGTTTCACTGTTTCTTGACAGTTCACAGAAATTACAGATCTCTTGTAGATGATGCCGTACTGAAGCAGCTGCTGAATTAGTAGAAATCTCTGCCAACAAGCCCATGAAATGACTGGGCAACGATATGCAATGTGAACAGGTGAAAGTCAATCCTTCCCCAGCTGAAAGAAAAATAACAACAGAACAATGTAACTACTTCATTCATGAATAAATTTATTGTCTAAGGTTTGCTAAACACAACTTATGCCATTACACCATTATGAACAAGAGGGAGAGATGAAGTGAATTGTTTTTATTGTCTTCCCCTCGTGTTTGTAACAAGGATTTTTATTTTTAATTTTCTTTAAGGTTTTCAAGATAGGTGATGTGTTTCTCCCAAACCCTGTTTGTGAAGTCCATTATAATGACCCACTACAAATTTGTTCGGGAAAATGCAATGCAGGGTTTATAATTGCATTAAAGGCTGGGGAGGGTGTTGGAAGGAAAGAATAGTTCAGGTTGGAGGCCTTTAGCCAGCGGTGTGCCACAGGGATCAGTGCTGGGTCCACTGTTATTTGTCATTTATAGAAATGATTTGGATGAGAATTTAGGAGGTATGGTTAGTCAGTGTGCAAATGGCACCAAGATTGGTGGCATAGTAGACAGTGAAGGCGATTGTTTGGGAATATTGATCAACTGGCCAGTGGGCTGAGGAATGGCAGATGGAGTTTAATTTAAATAAATGCAAGGTGTTGCATTTTGGTAAGGCAAACTAGGGCAGGACCTACACTGTCAATGGCAGAGCCCTGGGGAGTGTTATAAAATAAAAAGATTTAAGGATATAGGTTCATAGCTCCTTGAAAGTGGAGTCACAGGTACACATGGCGGTGAAGAAGGCTTTTGACATGTTTGCTTTCATCTGTCAGAGCACTGCGTAAAAGAGTTGGGACATCTTGTCACAGTTGTACAAGACTTTGGTGAGGCCACATTTGGAGTACTGCATGTGGTTCTTGTCACCCTGTTGTAGGAAGGATATCATTAAATGAGGAAGAGTGCAGAAAAGATTTACTAGGATGCTAAATAAAAACCAAAGGAACTGCAGATGCTGTAAATCAGGAACAAAATCAGAGTTAACATTTCGAGGCCGGTGACCCTTCCTCGTTTTCCTAGCTACCAACAGTTCTGAGGAAGGGTCACTGGACCCGAAACGTTAACTCTGATTTTCCTTCACAGATGCTGCCAGACCTGCTGAGCTTTTCCAGTAACTTCTGTTTTTGTTCCTGATTTACAGCATCCGCAGTTCTTTTGGTTTTTATTTAGCATCCTAGTAAATCTTTTCTGCACTCTTTCTAGTAATGACATTTTTCCTACAGCAACTTGTGTTTTTATTTACTAGGATGCTACCTGGACTGGAAGGTTTGAGTTATAAGGAGAGGTTGTGTAGGCTGGGACTTTTTTCCCCTGGAATGTAGGAGAATGAGGAGTGACCTTATAGAAGTCTATAAAATCATGAGAGCCAAAGGTGAGATATATAGCCAACAGCTTTTCCCCATTGTGGGAGAGTCTAAAACTAGATGGCATAGATTTAAGGTGAGAGGGGAGAGGTCCAAAGGGGCACTTTTTTCACAGAGTTTGGTGAGTGTCTGGAATGCGCTGACAGAGATAGTGGTGGAAGCGAGTACAGTTTAGTCATTTAAGAAACATTTAGGTAGGTACATGGAAGGGACAGGTATGGTGGAACTGTGGACCAAACGCAGGCAAATAGGACCAGTTTAAATTGATAAAACTGGGCGGTATGGGCAGATTGGCCCGAAGGACTTGTTTCCATGCTGTGAACCTCCATGACTCTAGTTGGTAACACATACTTACAAACATGTGCATCCAGGGAAGAAAGAAAGAGAAAGGAGAACAGAGAACTTGCAAATCACAAGTTGTTTCAAGTCAAAGATATGAGAATTAGATTATGTGAATTAGAGAGCCTAATAATTCAGTGCCCAGCTATGGTTTGTTCTGTTGGCTGTGCACAGAAGTCCCTTTTGTAGGAACTCAGGCACAGTCGAATTGCTGATGAAGGCATAGTAATTTTACTTGGAAATTGTTCACTTCACACAAATGAAAAAGGTTTCTTTTCAGGAATCCGACTTTTGAGAAGTATTGAGTTCAGTGACAGATGTTTAGCTACGTCTAGAGCCTGTTTGCTCTTCGGTTGTTGCCAACAGAGTAACAAACAAAATTCAAAGCTGAAATAAAACAAAGAACTGCAGATGCTGAAATCTGAATCTTAAAACAAAAATTGGAGAAACTCGGCACATCTGACAGCTTTTGTGGAGTAAAAGCAGAGTTGATGTTTCGAGTCCAGTGACACTTCTTCAGAACTGATAATAGGTAGGAAAGGATAATGTATATGTTGATGACAGATAGTAGGAGGGAAATGGAGTGAACAGATAGATGGAGCCCAGAGAGAGAGAGAGAATGACAGTTAAGCGACAAAGGGGTGGATGATGGTAAGTCAGGAAAGGAGAAAAACTGATAACAGGGACAATGAGTAAGTGAAAATGGCTTGGCTAGGCTGAAAGTAGCTCATGTTGCCACGGGACCTGGGGTGTGGAGTGGCTAAAGTATGTTGAGGAAGGCCTTCTGGTTATAAAATTATTGAACTTGATATTGAGCCCTGAAAGCTGCAGGATCTCAAGTGGAAGATGGAATGCTGTTCTTCCAGCTTGCACTGAGCCTTGCTGGAGCACTTGCAGCAGGCCTGAGATGGAAATGTTCACCAGGTAACATGGTGGTGTGTTGTGTAGGCAACTGGAAGCTCAGGGCTATTTTATGGACAGAACATAAGCAGTTACCTAGTTTGCATTCGTCTCCCCAGTGAAGAGCAGACCACATTGTGAATAGCGAATACAATAAACTAGATTGAGTGAAGTGCAGGGAAATTGCTGCTTCACCTGCAAAGGTGTGTCTGGAGCCTCGGATAGTGAGAAGGGATGAAGTAAATGGACTGGTGTTACTCTTTCTGCGACTGCATGGGAAGGTGCCATGGGGATGTGTGTGATGTTGGCAGTTGGGGAGGAGTGTAACTTCCAGTACAAGGTGTACTGGAAGGAATGGTCCATGCAAAATACTGATGAGGGAGGAGAGGAGAATGTGTGTCTGGTGGTGACATTGCACTGGAGGTGGTTGAAAGGACAGCTTATGATCTTCTGTATGCAGATCCCAGTTAAGCTGCAATGCGTTCTGAAGGTTTCCTTTGTTGAGAACTGGCTGAGGTAAACGTTTAATCTACTAAAGTAAGTGGTAGAGGTGAGTACAATTACAAATTTAAAAGACATTTGGACAAGCACATGGATAAGAAAGGTTTAGAGGGATATGAGCCAAATGCAGGCAAATTCAGTTTAGGAAAACTGGTCAGCATGGGGCGATGGGTCTGTTTCCATGCTGTATGCCTCCATGACTCTAGTCCTTTGTGCTGACTTGGCTGCGATGTTCATAAACTGCATGGAGGGTCATATTCGTGCCCTGGCATTTGCAAGAAATTTCTAGAATCAGGCTGCTTACTTATTCTTAAAATTGCAGCAAGAGTCATTCAAAACCAAATAATTAAATGAGAAACAAAAACAGAAGTTGCTGGAAAAGCTCAGCAGGTCTGGCAGCATCTGTGAAGAAAAAAGTCAGAGTTAATGTTTTGGGTCCAGTGATCCCCTCTCAGAACTCAGAACAGACCTGCTGAGCTTATCCATCAA